CCCCATTTCTGAAGAAGGGTCTAGGCCCGACACGTCAGCTTTCCTGCTCCTCTGATGCTGCTTGGCCTGCTGTGTTCATCCAGCTCTACACCTTGTTATCTCAAATATTCATAACTATTTCCAACACTGGATGGCAGTAGAGTCAAATTGTCTGATTATTCCTTTGTTCCCTTGATTTGGTTTGCTCTGCTGTCTCCCTCCCTCTTATTAAGATTGACTGTCTTAAGTGAAAATGAGAATTGAGTGCTGAAACAAACAGTGAATCACACAGCACAGAAAAGGATACTTTTGAATTAGCTTTCCAATCAGTTACCCCTTCGCTCTCTCCATGGCCCTGCAATTCTTTTCCATTGAAAGCTGATATTGAATTTGCTTCCATTATTCTCCTCCAGATAGTATCTTGCCTCATGAAAACATTTCTGCTCATTTCCCTTCTGGTTACTTTGCCAATTGTCTCCTGATTACTGATTTTTGTGCCAGTAGAAACAGCTTCTCATAATGTATGAAGATTGAAATGCCCTTCAATAAAGTGTTGGCTAATGTGTCTTGTTTGGATGTTGAAAACAATTCTATAACAAGTGTACGTTCTTTCACCTCAGGACGTAATCTAACAGAAAAACCTGGCATGTCACAATAAACTGTCCAAAGGCTGGTTCAGAACGCACACAGCAGCTGGTGGAATTTGAGTCCATTTGAGACCTCTCCCCTTCAGGGAAGCCTATCTGCTACCCTTCAGCTGCCTTTTTTAATATTCGTTCATCGGATGTGGACATCAATGGTCAGACCTGTATTTATTGCCCATACCCAAGAATCAGTCACAATGCTGAGTCTAGAGTCACATGTATGTTAGAGCAGGTAAGGATGACAGTTTCCTTCCTTAAAAGATATTAGTGAGCCAATTAGCTTTTATTAACAATTGAGTGGTTTCACGGTCATGGTTAGATTCATCTTCATTCCAGATTTTTTATTGAATTCAATATCTTCCACTTGCCATGGTAGTAATCAAACCTGGGTCCCCAGAACATTACCCGAGTTTCAGAGTTAACGGTCCAGCAATAGTACCACTAGGCCATTCCCTCCCACTACCAACTCACCTGTGCATGTTCCTGACCAGAGCAATGTGGTTGACCACTCTTGAAGACAATTCCATGCAAAAAAAACCATTCTGCAAACTTGAAGCTCCTTTGTTTTGAGTGAGAGCCATTACCAATAATCCGTCATAAAGTGAAGACTTTGTTCCGTTTTATTTGGCAAGAAGTCTTGTGTTGCAATTGAGTTTTGTCCATACGTGTCTTTTTCTCTGGTTGCTAATTTTTTAGCTGTACTAGCAAATTTGAGTGAGTTAGTGAACGTTGCTTAGAAATGAACTTTTTTTTATTTTAGCAGCATTAAGACAAACTGAGCACAAGGTTCAAAGTCATTTTGTAAGGTCGTAGTTATATGCCATAGCTAGAATTGGACAGCTTTCCTGCTTGAGTGGTAAGGATGTGCTTGGAACCTTTCTAGGGTCTTTCATTCTAATTAAAAGTTGTGATACATATATGGTGCATGTCGTGGTTGGTTGGCTTGTCGAGCTGGTTCATTCTGCAGACGTTTCATTACCCTGCTGGGTAACAACATGAGTGCAGCCTCCGATGAAGCGCTGTTCTGTTTCATCAGAAACTGCACTGATGATGTTACCCAGCAGGGTAATGAAACGTCTGTGGAACAACGAACCAGCTCGGCGAGCCAACCATCCACAACCTGAGCTACAAATCTACTCCTCTAAACCTTAAGTATGGTACATTTATAAAAAAAAGTTTTCTTTCTCTCCCTTAATTGCTTTGCTTTCCTTTTAGGTGAAAAGATACCTGATTTGAGTTTGAGATGTCATGGGAGGTGGGGAACAAACCTATGTACACAATGTTGTTCACCCCTTTTCATGTTCTATTGCACCATGCCAACAGATACTTACATTTGTGTAGGTTTTATTTAGTGTAGTTTATGGTTTGCTTACAATTAATAGTCTTCTCCCACTTGGTCTGTAAATTTTCCAATATAACCACATTGATTTTAAACTGAATTTCTGGACTGTAGTAGACAGGTGCTCTGACAACATACTTGTTTTAATCTCTGTGATATGGGGCCCTGAATACAAAGCCGGAGAGTTTTTTTTTGCAGCACTTTGTAAACAGAGGGTCTCTTTGTTCTCTGCTTGAAAACCAATAATAGCATAAATCTAACCAGTTCTTGCACTTGACTGTTTTCATTTTGTTTGCTAGGATATTAATGATTACATCATCTGATAGAGACCATATGAAATCACTCGTAGTTGGATGCAGTTTCCCCATTACTTGTGTGCTGGCTCGGACTCATTCCTAGGACCTCAACTCTGCAGAACTCTCTTGTATCTTGGTTTCTTTCTGTTATTTATTTTTCTTTTCTATCTGCCTGTTCTCTTGCTCTACCTTGTAGATTCTGGCTCCACCCTGCTCTCCAATGCTCTGTCTCTATTAAAGATTTATTAATCTGTAGAGCTACTTTAAAAAGGCAATTTAACCCAGATGCGATTTGAATTTCAGGCCAAGTTGAAGTTTCTTGAAATATGTAGATTTTGAGAACTTTCCATGCAACCCTTAGGTTTTTGACAGGTGTGATATGATTCCTTCAGTGTGGGAATCACTGGATAGCTCTCTGTGTGGTGATGTAGTAATCTAATTCAGGGCGTCGGATAACACCATTGACTGAAGAGCTGAATGATGTATTTTCTTAATTTGAAACCTCTGATTAAATTACTGACTTGCATCTCGGCCTGTGGGCAAAATTCCTGCGTTTTAAAAACAAATGCGACAGTGCAATTCTGACTGGATATATTTTATGCACAAATTTGGAATTTTGTACGATGTAGAGAGTATGCCAAAGCTACAGAAAATGAACCTGGTCCTACAGTATAGACTTCTGTGCAGACGCTGAAGTAACTCC